CACGCGTTAAAACGCGGCTATCTGTATCTGTTTTAAATAGCAAAAGATGAGCACAAAATTCTGTTCTAAAAATGGGTTATGTTTTTTTATGATACCTCAAAAAAATATTTTGTCACTTAACCGCAATTTAGCGGACGGCAGATCGGACGTCATTATTGTTAAGTACGTTAAGTACTAATAAGTCGTACGATATTAATCGACTTTAAGAAGCTAATATTTTCCACTCTGTCATATGACGGTTATATACATGTTACCTATCGTAGGTATATAGTATCTTTTGTAAAATATTGATATAGTCATTAAAAGTACGCGAATATATGAAAATACATTGGATTCAAAAATTTACCTAATTTTTTTTTATTATTTTTTTTTATTATTTTTTTATTATTATTATTTTTATAATATCATGTGACGGGACGAACAAGTCGTGCGTCTGATGGTAAGCTACACGCCTGTTCATAACAGTTGCAGTGCCACTCAGAGCTTCAAACCGCAAAGATCTCAGAAAGAAAGAGCCCGTCACCCTGAGACATAAGTTGACAAGTCCCATGTAATTTCACCAAAACCCTTACCCTTCAAAACCGGAACACAGTAATGCTAACATTACTGCTTGGCGGCAGAAATAGGTAAGTTGGCAAGTACTTCCCTGGACGAACTCTTTCACAAGGAGCTCTACTTCTTACTTGATAATTAATGAATATAACAATACTAAAGACAACTACACTCCCACCTTGTCATAAACAACGCATTTTCACTTTGGTAAATTTCGATGTACCTAAAATGTTCATTATATCAGCCAGAAGACGTCCACTGCTGAAAATAGGCCTTCCTAAAAGATTACCAGACTAGCCGGTCGGACGCGACGTGCATCCATCAGTTACCCGCCGCCCTTACCAGGTCATCCGTCCATGTAGTAGGGCGCCGTCCCACTGAACGCCTTCCGGGTCGTAGTTTCCATTCAAGAACTTCTGCCCCAACGGCCGTCAGTTCTACGACCTATGTACACTGCCCACTGCCATTTCAACTTGCTAATCCTATACGCTATGTCGGTGACTTGCGTTCTTCTACGGATCTCCTTATTTCTGATTCGATCACGTAGAAAAATGTCGAGCATTGCTCGCTCCACAGCTCGTTGAGTGACTTTGAACTTTTTTATGAGGCGTAGTAAGTGACCACGTCTCAGAGCCGTAGGTCATCTCTGGGAACAAGCACTGCTCGAAGACTTTTGTTTTCAAGGACTGCGATATTGTGGACTAGAAGACATCCCGAAGCATCCCGAAAGCTGCCCAACTGAGTCGGACTCGACAATTACTACCTAAAATGTTATTTCTTAACAATAAAAATGAAACTAAATAAGATATAAAAAATCTGCTTTTAGGGGGTTATGATCTTGTTTCACTGATTCCAGAGATATTGATAACTGAATTTGGCTAAAAATGTCGATTACATTGTTTATGATAAGGTCGGCAATACAGCATACAGTGTTTTAAAAACCCCGATTTTGAAACCTGCCATTATTTAGACTCATACTTTGTACGAACAAATAAGTATTTCCAATTGTCAAGTGATAACCCTGACTAAAAAATAAAAATCAATACGACGCAATCCACGGTTCTAGTTTATGATAAGTTTATGGTGTGTAGATGACAGCTAAAGCTGAGTAAAACTCCCATAATCCGCGGTATTACTGTGAATTATTGAAGTGAAAAAATTTAAATAACTTTGTAACGAATGAAGCTAGATTACCTTAAACTGTGTGTCATTTATGGTTTTATCGAACGACTAATCGGTTAGCTAATCATTTTCAAAAATTATAAATTGTTTTTTTTTTTCACGTTTAGCCAGACGAAAATTACGCAATTTTTAAAGCGACTTCAAAAAAAGTAGAAGGTTCTCAATTCAACTGAATGTATGTTTTTTTTGTATATATGTTACTCGATGAGTTGTGAACCGAATTTGCGGATTCTTTTTTGTTGGAAAGAGAGTACCTCACTATAGTGCTCCCATTTAAATTTGAAGAAAATATTCCACCTCCAAGGGTGGCAACCTAGAAGATTAATGACTTTTGAGGTCGGTTTTTCAGTACCCTGTACCGAAGTTATCAAAAAATAAACTCTGAAACATTGTGTAACAAGTCAATGCTCTGAAACTACTTATTTGTTTCACCGGTGTTTTACTGTCGTATTTGTATTAAGCTACAGAAATCTGAGAGAAGAATTTGGCGTGTCATGAAATTAGCGTTTACAAAACAATGAGCAACACATAGATGGCATTTCGTATAGCTACCATTTATCTACAAGAATCATTGACATGTTTCATACATTTTCATAGCAATCATGAATTAAATAAAAGTACGTGTTGTCATTTATCGCGCATAATTTTTATTCTCAATTCTTCTTAAGATTATATATTATATAATATTATAGCAGGTATAAAAGAAAACTTATGCCCGCACTGACTGTATTACAACGGAAAATAGATGGAAATAGAATAGCATGAATAACACAAAGCAAAATCACGATAACATGCTTCCTTTATTGTATAGCATGATCCTGATTGCTTTATTTCATATCACGATGTATGGAATTGCACAAATTGTTAAGAAATATAATAAAACCATTGTGGTTAACGGCTTAAAATGGAACCTTTTCGATACCTACGTATACTATTATTACTTTCGAGGGAAGGCCTGTGGCGTCTTTTCAAACCCTATTCTATGAAAAATTAATCTCAACACACCAAACTGACGACAGGCTCCAAAATAAGCAAATAAATACCAAGACTTGGTTTGCTGAAATTGCCATTCGCTTTAAAATCTTAAAATCGTGTTTATGTAATAGTTAAATAATATATCACTATACTAAACAGTGGGTAATGGTCACTTTTTTATTATTAACTTTTCTTTCTGTCGTTGGCAATCACCAGAGCCGAGCTAATGTGTAAAATAAAACACACAATTTCTGCTCTGGTCTGGTCTGGTCTTTTTTGTTTTTTATCGCAATTCACCTAAAGCTGACAACTATTTTTAACCGACTTCAAAAAAAGGACCAGTTTCGAATTCGACTGTTGTTTTGTATGTTTGTTACGCGATAATTACTATGATGATTTTGATGATTCCTTTTTCGTTGAAAATAGGGTACTTCAGTAGTTGTCTCATTTAAATTTGAAGAAAATATTTTACCTCTAGGGGTGGCAAACTAGGGGAAGAATGCCTTTTGAGGTCGGTTTTTTTAGTAATCTGTATTGAGATTATTCGGTAAATAATACAAAAGCATTCACATAAGTGGAACACAGTTTTTTTTAATTTAGCCCAAACTGGGTTATGAATGCAAGGTTACTTTAAAAGTAACTAGCTTAGGAACCAATATTAACTGCCTGAGTATTTATTCTAACACACAAGTACCTTTTCGCCGGTTTTTTAAGTTATTTACCTACAGTTATGATATTATTGCTTGCGTATGTCCACGTAGACTTCTTGTACTCTCTCGGTTCCATAAATTATCTCTCGCAGAGCTTACCGGCTTTTTGACTGTATCAATTTCCTTTGCAAATAAGCGTTGTTTAGATCTTGTGCTATTTCGTGTATTTCTGTAAAACGCACATCTTCGACCAGATTTTATGTTATGACTACAAGCCCAAGTTACGAAGGTCAAACATAATATTTTAAGACCTATTTATTTGCTGCCCTTTAATCTACTAAACGACTGTTTACTTTAAGACCGTAATTAACGCTACATTGTTTTCCTCTCAGAAATTTAATTTTGTCCGCATTTGCACCATGAATGTAAATCTCTGCGAATCGTTGGTAATTTATAAATTGTTTTGATCTGTCAATTTCTCAAATTCGTGCTTTACACTCGTACATTTGAATTTTTGCAGCAAAAATTGTGAACCGGCGTTAGCAATTGTTCAATGAAACAATAAGCGAAGATAGCATGAAGTGATAATTTATTCAACATTGTACCGAGCACGTGTCTAGACTGTCCGTGTTGGGTGGCATTTACAGGAAACATTGTTGCAACCAGCTACTACAAAGTTTTATAACATCCTTTTAAAATGCAAAAGGCGACCCTACTTCACTTTCACGGCAATATTCTCCAAAGAAAACAGGCGGCGATTTTAATAGTTGTAAATACTAAAAGCCTTTTAGTCAAATAACATAATTGCATAAAAATATGCTGAACTCAATAAAAAACCTTTCTTCGATCCACATTCCTCCGACATCTTTTCCAAAGAGTATCCCAATAAAACAAAATATGTATACCTAAGTTGTTTAGCGCACATTTCCGGTCTCTATTCAATTCCCTTACATATTCTGACCTCAGAATATTTTTATTACGAGCAATCTGTAGCTGTGATTGGATTCATCCCAGGCAGGGAACTCGATTTATTTTCCAGTTGGAAATATTTTGGCTTCCTACACCCTATTCTTCATGTACGCCTTCTACAGACAACAAGAGAAGGAAGGAGGTCAATTCATTGAAATGAATTATTACGTTACTATGTAAATATGTCGGCCGGAACTTAACGGCCAATTTGAATACAGTTTTCGCCCACAACCTGGAATTTATGATCCAGACCGGTGGCTCTGCAGTTAGATGATCGCGATAAGTAGGCGGCGGAGGGCTAAGTCGTAAAGAGAACTTTGTTTTTCTATAGTCGTTTGAGTTGTTTATACAGGTTCCGTATTGGCAAACTTCTACTTCAATATATGATCGTTAAGTAAGTCATTACGTCTAATTGTTATTCTCCGAGATTTGTCTTTCTACAATGAACTACCAGGTGTAGCTTGTGTATAGGATATACAACAACTTTTTGATACAACGTAGCTATTTGAAACTTTAGGGAAAGTTCCGGAAGAACGCACAGCAGAAGGATCACTTGCAGGTGTTAATTGTAAACAAACAATTCGCGTGCAGGCGTAAGTCGCAAAGCCTTTACAAAAAACAACTTATGGAAATTTCACGACAAACAAATTGTTAGAAACAATAAATACAAACCTTCCCGGCCAGCGCGATGGTCTCCACACACGCCAAACGTCTCTCAGCATTGCGCACTAAAGAGTTAGTAATGATCGGAATAAACTTTGAGCGTGCACATGGCAAGGTCTGTAAGTAACGAACGAACAGTGAACAATACGTAGCAGTTGCGCGAGGGCCGCGGTCGTGACTGAGGCTCGTACCAAAGCGAATATCGTCGGCAGGGTGGCTCTAGACTGCCCTCGTCCCGCGCCGCACCGCTCCTCTTTCGCCGAGTGGCCGCCCTCTGCCGGCGTCTCGTTTGCTGACTCCCGATTTCAGCTTACGTTTAGATCAGCAACACCAAAGACTAAACTTTAAAACTTTGAAATATAACAGTTATTCCCTCAGTTTCTGTTGCTTCAACAATAAATTTAATACCGTACACATAATTATAAGTCAAATCATATATATTATGACAAAGTTGCCTTCTTAAATTGATAAGTAGCCACGGTTGATTCAGCCAAAATTTTTTGGGAAATACTTTTTATTTTACATTTCAGCACACAGACCAAAAACCATTGTATTACAAGTTAGGTTTTCGATTGAAATCTACGCACATTGGTATCAAAGAGTTCGAAATATTTTGGAGTATGAATTACGATTGCACTCAGCAATAATCAAGCTATTCATGATTATTTTTAGACCTTATTCGGTCGAGTGTTAAAGAATCCTGTCTCTTTGTTCTTATGAGTTAGAAACACAAATAATCTTCATTAAAAAAGCTTTTAATTTTATTGATTGTCCAAATTACGAAATGTAAGGGTGAGAAGGAAAGACTTCACCACAGACACCGTCGCGAACGCCGATGGTTACAGTCTAATGTACGCGCGATTTATTATTCGAGTTTATACATGTGTTACGTTACGTTATGTTCCGTGAACGCCAAAATGGATTTCAATTGGGAATAGTACTACGTGTTGAGCCGTGTATACATCGACGTGGTGTGAGCTCTACGCATCTCAAAGCCTACGAGGTGGTGAGCATTTCCGAATTCAATGCTTGGTGAATCCAAGGGTTCGTAATACGATACGGGGCGAAATTAACGGCCGTATTTATTTTAACGAAGCCCAAAACTGTGACAAGTTATAAGCAAACACAACTTGCAAGTGCATTTGGCGCTGTAAGCATTGGCAGTGCAGTGCTAGTAGGACTGGTTAGGAACTATATTATTAACATGAGGAGAACATAATCGACTGTACTTTCAGCAATTTAACGTATTAGACAACATCACATACGTTGCTCTGATCCCAAAGTAGCTAAAGCACTTGTATTATGGAAACCGGAATCAACGACGGTACCACAAACACCCAGACCCGAGGCAGTATAGAAAAGTGAGTTTTCTACACTGACCCGGCCGGGGATCGAATCCGGGACCTCAGAGATGGCGATATTATTATTACAATTATTAAAGTGTTGCTGACTAGGTATATGAATTGAGGTTTATTTTTTTTATTTATTTATTTATACTCAGGTTACAAAGACCCCTAAATACACACCTATTTACATAATAAAATAGTTTTACAAATTTTGTATAATTTTTGAAGTGGTTTTTTGTTGTATTAAATATTTTTGTTGTAATTATGTAAAGTATTATAGTACATAAATCAAATAAAAAATTTTACATAAGTATGCCTGAATACAATAAAGTAACATTTAAATTTAATGTGACATTTTCTTCCTATATTGACAAAACTTATGTATTACGACGGTGTTACGTCCTTGAGAGTATGAAGAAAAATTGCATATCAGCTTATTATTAACAAGTAGAAAGACTTTGGCAGGATATTTAGAATAATTATTACTCGGTGGTTACAAAGGCAAAAAAAGGTAACCTACCCATGACCGAGTTGCTGTCACAACTCAGGTGTAAAACCGCTACCTAGGCGCGATGTCAACCGAATTCTGGATGTTTTTGCGATAACATCCAACGTAACGTTAGTACGTCCGTATTCACTCATGTATTATATTATCTATTATAAAGCTAACTCTCTTAAAATAGATATTGATTTTTATGATGAGTTCATAATTTCCTCTAATTATTTATTAATTTATTTTATAATACATTTTGTAATTTTAATATCACCCGAAACAAACTAAAAGTGGAGTCTTTCGCGATTCTCGTATATTGTTTACACCTTTAAGAGAAGAGAGGAGATTTTGAAGACCACGTACATAAATTACCCAACTTCGGCGTCCACCCATTTTGAACTAATAACTACTCAAGTTACGTATACTAGAATAAAAAAGTGCAGTGTAGTGCTTTGTAGTACAATACAATGTATTTCGAATACCCTTTATTGCACGCAAGAACAAAACACAGCGACAAACGACAAAAACAGAGCAAGCGGCTTTAGTGCTGCTGGACAGTAATTTGTTGACTTTGTGTCAGTTATGAACTTAAAAATAATATTAGGCTAAGGGTCCAATAAATCCTTATCTTTACGAACCTAATGTGAATATTATGCTTCTATAAAAGAAAATGGAAAATAATAAAAAATAGATTCAGGAACATATTATAACTTTAAAAAAAAAAAAGTTTTACGGACCTCAGTAGTTTATGGAATTACGTCTATTTGCCAAATTTCATTCAAATTGATTAACAGAAAGTGGGTGAAATCCAAAAAAAAAATAGATCAATCCCCTGATATGTCACCTTTAGAAGTGGAATAATATTTTCTGCAAATCTGAATGAGACCACTTCTAAAATATTCCTTTACCAACAAAAAAGAATCGAAATCGGAGTAATCGCGTAACATACCCACAAAAACGATTAAAAAGATATCGAGTTCTTATGTTTTCGCGATTGTTACACATAGGAAATGAAACTATTTTTCTGGATTTCAATCGCGTATATTTGTTTTTTCAAACAAACCAACGTTTCGGGCCCTTTACAGGTCCCGTGGTCACGGTTGACTTGGGTGACCATGGGACCTGTAAAGGGTCAGAAACGTTGGTCAACCGTGACCGTGAGCTTGGAGTAGACGACTCTATTCAAATTAAGGACTGTTTGGCTCAGTGAGTTCTGTCTTTTGTGTAAGTTTTAAAACCAATCCCAGTTGGTAACGATGCCCGCAAAAATGACAACAGTTTTAATCAGTGCACTGCTGCAACTGCGCCTTCGAGACAAATAGTCGTCCCGATAGCAACCTTACGAAACCTTACAAAGACTAACTTTTGAAAAGTGATAACAATGTTCTTATTGAGTACTTATGTCCATGGTATAGTTTGGGGTAGCTGGCTGGTTGTTATTGGGTGGAGTACACCCATACGATGATGTCGATGATTTCAAAAATTGCACAACACTAAAACTGTTCAACGTAAATAGTAGCTGAATCGATATTTATATTAGTTAACAAAATGCTTCACTTTAACGTAGCCCATCTCCAAGCTTCTAAAACATTTCAACTGAACATTGTCAACACTGAGTATCAAAATATGCCATTCACGAGGTTCAAAACTACAGTGAAACAAAAAATGTATACTAAAGCTTCTGCGTATTTGTTGACAAAAATCTGTAGTGGCGACCCGTTTAGCTGTTGCGACCTATGATGTTAGAAATAAATATTGTAAATGATATGATATGTATATAATGGGTACGAAAGTTTATTTACAAAGACCAACCTCTACAGTTTCTTACATTCTTCTCAGAGGAATCTGCTTTACGAATGAGCAGTAGAGTTTAATCAATATGACGATTTCAAGTGTAATTTGCTTACGTATGAAAAATATTTTTTTTTATTTTTCACTTTTTTTACTATTGTTCTCTCGAAGATTAAACTGAATACAAATCACTAGCTGTTTGATATTATGTTTTGATATAGTCTGATTTGATATTAAACACACTAAAATCATTGTATTGGTAAGAGCTACTTTGCACTGAATTGTAGATTAGATCAATCTTACGTTCCCAGTCGTAAATTATTATTACGTACCATTCGTATACCTCTCAAAGCAACGTTAAATTGAAACATGATGGTTGAATGCAGCAAGCAGGCACTCAGTCTTAACTACTTAAGGTGAAGCGAGACCCAAAATAGGCGTTTTGACGTATTTCGACCACAAAAATGCACAGAACCCACAGACCACAGTAAATCGGTTTTTCGACATTAAATACAAATTTAACTTGTTTTTTTCTATTCATAATGAAAACAGAAGATACCGGTAGTGAGTTATGGGGCTCGAAACACGATTGACTAAACTTCTCCCGAAAAAAAATCACACAGCTTATCAAAATTTTCAGTTTTATCTACTCAAACATCAAATTCATTCATTTGGTATTATTATTATTTCAAACTTCAATGAAAATTTCTCATACGTGTTCCGTAACAAATACGTCAGTGGTACAGACCACATATTTCTTTCTTCCGTGGTCAGTGGACTATGACCTTATTTTACAGTAAGAGAATTTTTTTTTTTCTAGAATGTAGGTATATGTTTCAATATCATGCAAAGAATAACTCCGCTCTTTAAAGCCACGATACCATTTCGCCTTAAGTTGAGTACCTCACAGCCCCTGTGGCGTTTTCAGTCCTCTTAGCCGAATAAATCCCCATGGCCTTTAGTATCCCTCCAAGATTACACTGCAGGACATTTTCATCTGACTTTGTAAGTGTAATAGGTACAAATATTTATACTATCGGTTGTACGCAATATCTGCACCTGAAAAAAGGAAATGTAATAGGAAGAACGTGACGTGTCCTTGCAAAGATTTCAATGTATGATTGAAATGACGTGATTATTCAGAAATTCATTTCCTTCCCAGCGGAAACTTACGTATTTTCGATTGTCCGTGAAGGTTATTACAATATACAACCTAGCTAGACGTACAATATGGGGACAATTTTTTTTTATGACACCAAGACTTACAAAAATATAACATTTATATTTTTGTGAACTGATTTGGTTAGTTTCACACTTTGATCATCAACTATACACACCAGTACATTTAGCAGAACACTAGTAAAATCTTCAAAATAATGTACATTTTTTTCGAAAGTCTGGTCAACTATTTACTTCTTACTTTTTAGTTTAGGTTTAATCTGAAAATAAAAAAATTCTCATTCTCAATTAACCTAATATTACAATTCTTACAATACAATTCTTAAAATATTTCTTATACTTAGCGCTAGGACAAAAAAG